AGCAATGCTGCAATTCAAATAGACTTTAATACAGCATCTCAGATACTTTCCATCATACATACAGTTTGAAACAACAGAAAAATGGTGTGAAGACATGAGGTTATGCTGAAAGATCAGTGCTTATAAAGATTTCTACTTTAATTTAGTGTGTTTCTTTCCGACATGGGTGGGAATGAAATTTTTTTGCAGAAGGGATAAATACAATCAGTGAAATTCTTGTCCCGCTGAATTCAGTGGGATCTTATCACACCACTCAGGGAACAGACGTGTGGAATAAAGATTCCTTATTTCCAGTCACCGACAATATTACCTTGAATCAGAGAAGGACCTCTACTACTACAAATGTTTCATTTCTTTGTAATATGGTTGGAATTTTTACTCACCATATATGTTTTTCTTTGATATTGTTAGCTTCTTCTATTAACTACCTGAATTTCCAGACATCAGATGTGTATTCATTGCTTGTTCAAGGCTGCTTTAGTTTTCTGTCTTATATTAACTGCTGCTATGAAGCTTCTGCATTTTCTAAATACACAAAGTTTTCTTATGTGAAAAACTGAAAGATTTTAGAAAATGCAGTAAACAGCTCAATACATTTAACGTGAGTACTCTTTTGGTGTGTATTTACCCACATTTTTTGATTACTGGCACATGCAAGGAATTCAAACACCTCATACAATTCAAAGAGATCTGTTGTCAAGCAGTTACCTTCAGCAAATACACTTTGATTTCTCCAAATGGCAGTATCTACTTTGTTTGCTGAAAAACTGCTCCCCATTTCTATTGTCATCTAGTTACGCTTCTCCCCCTCTGTAACTTTTTACTGCTTTACATTTTATCTCAGAGTTTCCTGTATTCTGTGAGGAATCCTCGCAGGCTGCAGCTACTGGAGCCGTTCTACTTATCCTGCAGCTACAAGTGTTTCAGCACCTTGTCTGGATTCCTTCTGAAAAGGGAACAATCTTTTTTATTTTCCTGTCTCGGTGTTCCCTTGTGGGAACTGGATCCCTAGATTTGATTTAAGAGACAAATCAATGTTGGTGTTCTGAAGAATCCTATGGTACTATTTTTAATAGCCCCCTAAAGAGATTTGGTCCTGTTGTTCTAAAAAGAAAAAAAAAAATATATAATTATCTTGGTTAGTGGCTGATTAAATACTCCTTGGACTGCATTAATGTGCAGTGGCACACTGGAGCTCAGGAAAACCTGGGATGATAGAGGCCAAGCCTCAGAAAAAATGCTTACTAGGTCCAGTAATGGGTGGCCAGATACACATTTGGGACTGACAGCTTTTGGACAGAATTAACTCTGCTGATCTCTAATGCTGCTACAGGGGCTGAAACTGGCAAGTAGTCATTTTTGTGCAGGGGAGGACTGCACAGGTATCCTCCAAAAATTAGAAGAAATTGAGTTCCAGGTGTTAAGGCAGAATGGTAGAATGTTGAATACATGATGCCTGTTTTCAAAGCTTGACAAGAAGAGATGGTTTAAAATGCAATTAGTTTCTTTTTGCAAACAGTGATTTTTTTCTTCAGGGGAAAATTTGAAAGCTCCATGGGCCACTCTGAAAGCTCACCAATGTAATCAGATATATTATGTTTAACTTTTGTCATTTCCACATAGCTTTAAAAAATGTCTTGTGTTCCTACAAGCTCATATTTATCCTCTCTCTTCCAACTCCAGCAAATATTGGTCATTTTGATGCACAGCTTTCTTGTACATCATTGAAAATGAATTATGCTTCTACACATGGGCCTGTGGCTTTCTGTACAAAGTGGGATTCAACAAGTTTTCACAGGGCATTAAGTCATCAGGACAAAACTGAATTGCTTGAGGGATTGTCATTCTGCTCCCTTGTTCAGTGAACACTAGAGATTTAGCACTAAATTTGACTAATTAGAGAGTTTTCAGTACTATTTTTAGACTTGTCTTCTGTGGAAACATGATCTTTGTTGGCATATGTGATCTCTCTGTAAATCAGTCTTAGGTCAGGTTGGTCAGGTTTGATCAAGTTTGACACAGGATTGGAAGTCCAAAGCTAAAACCTTTGTGAAAATTGGTTCTTGGCTAGCAGAGAGGGACAGAGTATTTCCACTGATAAGAATAAAAAAGCACATAAGTAAATGGATGATCCTTTGCCATAGAGAAGGAAGTGGGGATCCAGATGGGACCCTGGGGGAATACAAGCGAGAATGGCAGTCACAGCTGGCGAGACGGCGCACCAGAGAGCTGCAGGACAACAGGCCACGGCAGTGGAGGGACCTGGGATAAAAGTATGTGAGGAAAAAAGAAACCGTTTCCTTAATTTTCCTATTCAGGAAGCAAATTGTAAAAATAATTTAATCATCAATGATGAAAAGCTATGGCTGCCAACCGAGACATCTCAGCACTGTACATAATGTTTGGTTTAGCACAGCATGTTGCTTGCAGAAGGATGTTTTGCTAATTAGTCCTAAAAGTTATAGGAAGTTTGTAATGCACTATTTTTACAATTAAATTGAATGACTCAAGATAGTAGGGTTATTGTATGAGTAAAAAATAACAGGCTCAGGCTGTTCGAGTCTGCCAGTCATCAGATGTCATGAGCTTTCTTCATTACAAAGCAAAATTTGTCCTGGAAGAAAACAAACAAACAAACAGAAAATCTGCACAAACCATCTCTTCTCTCTGTTCAGCATGCTTGAGTCATTTCTAAATACACAAAGCCCTGGAACCCAAAAGGACACTGTAAAAAAAAATAAACTAAGAGAAACCATAGCTTTTGCCAGAGTCACTGCTCTGCAAATATTCAAAGTGGCTCATTACTAATAGGGAAGCTGTTGCTGTACGCCTGGACTGTCAGCCTAGATGAATAGGGAAAATGGAATAAAGAGATTTAATTAAGCTATTAAGAAAGGATATAGTCAAAGACCAGTAGTTTCATTCAGTTCAGATTTAGGGGAACCAATGACACAAAGTCTGGTGCTGACTGAGCTGGTAAGAATTGGCTGACCTCCAGTGAACTCATGTACCAACACAAAACCTGGCCTCTGTAGTTCTAATGTGGATAGTTAGTCTGTCTCAGTCCATCTCATAATTAAAAAAACTCACACACACCCCAAAAGAAACACTAATTCAGGTTCTCCTGTGTATCAGGTATGACACAGTTGTCTAATTATAATCAGCAGGCACAAGTTGCAAAACACAAAATTTCATGACTGGGGAAGGGAAGCAGGAATTTATTCCCCATGTCCCTCACACACTCCTCTAAAGTAAATTTTCTTTATCAGCCAAACTTGTATTACATGGTTCTGAGTATATGAAAGGGAACAAAAGGCTGATAGTCCTCTGCTTGCACTGGAGGAAAGTTTTTTGGTGTTCCCATGCCTTGTGTGGGAGATGCAGCAGTGCTCAAGTCACTCCATTTACCCTCTGCCCAGAGGAGATATTTACATTTTTACTGAACTGGAGGGTTAGGGTTTTTCAGTTTTATAAGCTCAGTCTTATAGCTAAGATTAGTGAATATCTCTAACACTTGTCCTAGAAAAATAAAACCAGATTCCTTTTTCAAAACTAGTAAAAAGATTAAATTTGTAATGTATCTTAGAAGGAAACAGCCAGGTGCATAATATCAAAATATTTGAGCTCTGCTAGTGCTGGGTTTTGTGCATTTTATGCAGCATGAGCCACAGAATACAATGTGGTTGTGCACTGGTATGTTACAAAATGTATCTTAAGCGTTTCATAAATTTGGCACAATTTTGATATTCTTTGGTTAGAATGCCAACACACGAGTATTTAAGATTCAAAATCAATGCTCTCAGGATTCTAAGAATAATTCAGAGTCCATCTTCTTCAGGTACTGGGAAAAGACTGAGAATGTGATTGAAAAGACAAAAATGTCCCATTTCTCCACTTGTGTCCTCAGAGTCTTTTCTTGTTCAGATCTGTCTTCTCTTACAGCATTTTTGTGGCCAATGTTGATAATGAATAGTGGAGTCCAGGAGTTTTCCAAGCTTTGGTGCTAAGAAGTGAGCACAAGTGATTGGCAACAATGTCTTGAAAGCATAGTTGTAGATGACTTTATATATATGTACACACATATATAGATCAAAACCAGGAAAAAACATGTTGAGTTGAGCAGAGCTCATCAGTGTCTTATTTGTTATTGAGTATTTCTCCCCTTTTATTTTTAGTAGTTACAGGGCACCATCGCAGCTGGGGATGAGCAGGTGCAGAGAACAATTATCCTATTTCCGCTGCTAATTGTGGGCTTCAATTAGAAAGTCAACTTACTGGGGTAAAAAAACCTCATCACCATCGATTCCTAGGCAAAAAATAAGATCTTTTCATGTGACCCACCGTGACTAATCTATTTATTTATTTATAATAGAGCATCAATGGTCAGTGTAATTCTCTTATCTAGCACAATGCAAAGGATATACAGAGGCCATACAGAGGGAGACATCAATACAAGCCAGTGGGATGCAGATGAACAAGCTTCTTTATAGTGGCGGTCTTATGGTTGCATTTGTAAAAGATTTATCAGCATCTGCACCAGAACTGATTTCTACTCCCTGCAAAAATCCAAAAACCTGCTGGCGGGTGTTCAAGAGAATTTTCCAAAGCAAAATAAATAAATAAATACTCAGGCAAAAATATCTTACATGAAAAAATCTAGCTGAGCTCCATTATTTCAAAAGGCCTGCTCAAACCAAGATGTTTTACCTTTTAATATCTTATCTATTTATGCATGCATGCAGGGAACCTACCAACTAATTGGAATCATATTTGTAAGTCTACTGACTATTATATACTACATTGTAACATCCAACATTTTAGAGTACTCAAGCTGCCATGGAGAGCAAGTTAGAAATAAATCCTTCATTCTTACATTTTCCATGTTTTTCAACAGTTTTATTTCTTTCAAGTGTCTTTGACTTTTATATATACGTAAAATAAAAAAAAAAAAATCCCAATCTAAATCCCCAAACAAACAAAACAAACTCCCCTGTGCCAGCAAAATTGCACATTTAAGGGGAGTGGGGAGGTATTTGGGCTACAAAGCTATTTTTGTTCCAGCTACATCAGCTTTATCTAGTTTAATATTTGTTCTGTGACCACTTGAAATTCAATTTCAGGTAGTTCTGTATCATATCAGCATAGGATGTATCATTAACTCTAAGAGGATGTTTTCCATTGGCATCTGCTATTTTCACCAAATGTCAAGGCTTGACATTTGCTGTCTTTATCTGGTTTTGGTGTATCACATACTGAGATTTTGTTTCTTCTTATCTGATATTGATTAAACTGTGACCAGCTGTGTTGCTAATAAAATCAACAGGCAAGTATCTGGCATTTAATCCTCCACCAGTAGAGGAAAAGAAACAACCCAGTGACAAAAACAGTAAAGAGATACTTTTGAATTAGGATGCTTGCTGTATCCTCATATTATGCATCTCTTAGCACTTCTGTTGATGTAGCATTTCTGATTGATTCCCTTGGGGAAGTCTCCATGGAAATCCTTGCCTCTCAGATGAAATATTCCTTTTTGCTCTCATCCACTGCTTCCTGGAGAGCGGGGTCGTTTTTCAAAGCGGCATCTGCGCTTTCGGCAAACTCAGTTCCTTTTGCCTCGTTGGTGTGGTAAGTGCCCTTATGCCTGTACATGTACCGGACCATCACCACCAGCAGGCAAATGAGGACAAATACCACTGCAGCAATCACACCTAGAGGGAATAGACCAGTTAAATGTATTGTCAGTAATAAAATACAGCAGTATCTCACAGTCAGGCATCACAACTTGAATTACTTGATAGGGAAAAGTCCATGTATCATAAGATGTTTGTAATTTGCAGCAGCCGGGGTCAGAAGAGAGTCTGACACTGCAAAACATAAGATGGGATATAGATACTGCAGGAACGCAGGTCAAAGTCTCACTAGCGTTCTTTCAAATCAATGGCTTGATTTGGTTGAATTCATTGGAGCTAAAAGTTCATTACAAAATGAGGAGAAATAAGAGAACATAAAGGAAAACCAATAGGTTTCTTTCAACCTTCTGGTAACATGTACCCAGGGGAGTTTGCAGGCAACCCGACCCTGCCTCCGTAAGTGGACTTTCATACCCAGTTTCAGGAGTGTGGGGTACTGAGTATTAGGAGACGTTCAACAACTAGCAGGAGCCATGCAGCTGCAGTACTGCTCCGTATCTGCAAGCTGCCGTTTCATGCTGTGCTCTGATTAAGAAAGTCTGATTGTAATGAATGTGGAAATGACACCTGCGAGGAGGGAGGGATTCTGGGGAGATCTTTCCTGTCTCTCATACTAAGGCTAATTTACCAGCAAGGTGTTGACTGGGCAAAAATTTCCACAGGTAACCCAAAGGTGCATAGGACTAAACGGTGAATGGAAGCACTCCTAGTGAAGGAAAGTAAATTCAAATTCCAGGGGTGGCTGTGTAGAGAACAGTGTGTCCTTGCTTCACAGAGCCCTTTCTTTTTTTTTCTTTTCTGACATGAAAGGTAGAAGTCCATAAAAGAAAGGGACCCCTGACAAGTCCATCATTAAAAAATTACAGGCTGTATCCCCCTCCCTCCAGATGAAATTATTCACGTAAGAATCCTGAAAATAAACGAAGTATTTTGAAGTTTATTCACATTGTGTGGTTTTTATTTTTTTTACTACTTTCTAGATATAACTAATATGTACTTATAAAATATATCTTTAGCTGTGATTCTGTACAAGCACATGATACTGAGCTGATTCTATATTCACATGACTCCAGGAGTAAACCAAACACACAATAAAAAGCACCAGAACAGGACATTCCTAGGAAAATTCATATGGGAAGTATGAAGCCACTATGAAGATGCAATAGGTAGGAATTCATCTGACTCACTGTAGGCATCTACAGTTGAGGAGGCTCCATCTGAGTTACTCCCCTTGGACTTCCTCTACCTTCAATGGACGGTGTGTGTGGTGATTCCTCTTCTAGAACTTAATTCCTAGGTTTGGTCAGATGAATCACTCCCTGGAAATGCCTACTATTCTGCAGAGACAATGAGGGGGATGTAGACAGTGTCTCTTTTCTGTCCCCTCTGTTCAAGATATGTGGAAGGAGTGGGTATCTCCAAAGCTTTAGATTTATTAGCATGAGTAAACTGTCTGGGGATACCCTGCTGGCATAAAAACAGGGGGATGGACAGAATATTAGCCGGGTAAATAAAAGTGATAATTCCATCTCAAAAAATATGCCTGCAATTTTATCCCATAGATTTTATGGTGCCTGGTTCTGAAAAGTGAAGTTATTGCTAGCAGAAATGAAATTGCTTATACAAAGAACTTTAGGTTTACAATAATACAGTTGCAGTGGGGGCTTCATAAAGTTTTAGGACCTCACTGGTATCCCTTGACAAAAGAGGCTTTAATAGGCTTTGGACATAGCATAGTATTAATAAGCCTAAGGGACCAAGTACAAATCAATTTACCTGCTACTTGTTCATAGAAAGCTGAAATTAAAGTTACAGGAGATGGGACCCAAGGGAAATATAGCAGAACCTCACCAATTTGCACTAATGATTGGTATACCCCCCTTGTGAATGACTGAAATTAGTGCGTTAGCATGGAAATGAACAAACACAATAAAAATAAAAAGAAAGGTTCTCTGCATGTACATAGCTTTGTTCATTTATTCTGACAACTGTATTTACTTTAAATGCATGTGAGGGCTTTAACAGAACACCAGGAAATGCACTGGGGTATATTCTGTAAAAATAAAGGATCATCTGGTACGAGCTAGCATGTCTCATATCAAAGATGCTCCACCAGTCCTCTATTAAATGATGATGTTGGCCCAGTGAATAATGAAGAATATCAGAGGTTGACTTTGCCGCTGGACTGTTAGGTATTTTGTCCTAAAATGAAGAATGGATGGGGATGGTACTGCTCTCTACATGGTTTATGCTCATGATCTCACCTCGTTATCTTGCCAACAGCTCCTCTGGGAGCAGGCTTCCCGCCGGCCTAATTAACTCTAATCGTGCCACACCCGTTGTCTTGTGAGCAAAGTCGGGGTTTTGCAAAATGCAAGAAATCAACCAACCTGCTGTTTTAATTCTAATGGTGCTGCTTAGTACGGTCTGCTACTTACCTCCAATAACAGCCACATCTGCTCCAGCTGTGGGGCCCTCGATGTCTCCGTCTATAAATAGATTAGAACATAGAAAAGTTAATTAAAGAAATTGGATAATATGTAGCAGCAGTGACTGTACTGGGGGTACTGTATTCTTTCAACCTATGAAACTCAGAACTTAAACAAGATCTCTTGTTAGCAAAAGACATTTATGAAACTTCTCATTAGAGTTAGCTGTACTGTAACAGTTTTCTGTCACCATAACACCGGAAAATAAATAGCTAGCACATTATGCAAACTATCATGGCCCTCAGGGAAACACCTACTGTTTATTATGAGCACTTACCTGTAACATCCTCCAGTGAATGATTAAATTAAGAGCGTTTAGGTACTGTGATTACTCTCAGAAAGGTAGTTTTGGGGAAAAAATGTTGGTGCCTATTTATTTTCCCATTTATGGCTCTTCAGAGTATGGTCTGGATCTTGAATTGATGGAAATTAATCTGGCTCTATTAATTTCAATTAGTATTTATTTATCTGCAATATCCTGTTTTTAATCTTAGCATTTGGGTTTTTTTAAACCTACATTTGGAAACAAGGCAAACTTGTTATGTGTGTGTGGGATATAAAACACAGTCCCCACTTAGAGTAAGTCTGAATTCGGCGCTGATAAATCAAATTACATTCTTTAGTGGATTATAATTTATAAAAAAAGATAACTTTGCAATTTAAATGCAAAAGAGAAATAACTGACCATGTCTTTTTAAGAAGTAAGAAATTGGTCTGAAAAGTTGTAAGTTGCTGAAAGAGCAGTTAGAATTTGAATTACATTTTGATCTTAATTATAGCACTTACTAAGAATATCCCAAACAACTAATGAATAGCCAAAATGTTTTAAAGGGGAGAGGAAAAAAAGTCCTAAGAAATGGTGAGGATTTTTCTGTCCTTATTATTTGATATAAGCCTTAAGTGAAAGTAAAGTCATACAGACAAGCATTTCTTCACTAGCTTCCCCTTAGTTGATCAGGGTACAATTCTGATCTTGTTTTCTGCTCCTTATTTCATGCCATTAGTACCAGCCCACTTAGTCCTGAATTGTGTGGGTGTCTGAAAAGGTGATGAACTTCTGGAGTTTTTCCGTGACAGGCTTATGACAGGACACTCCTTTCTTTGTTTATTATTGTAATACTTATACAATTCTAAATGATACTAGTTTCCCAACAAGGCAAAAAACTTTACGTGAGGTCTTTTTTTATTTCCCTTTGGTAAATACAGTGGATAGAAAAGTTCTCTGGAAAAGGTAAAAACGCTAATTCCAAATCCTTCTATAAATTCAACAATGGCACAATGGCTGATATCTGGCTCTCCTTTTGCTAAATCTGTGATAGACGATGCAAGGATAAAACACTGTCAGCAGCTTTCTCATGTCTGGTCTCTTATATCAAATTCCAATAAACTGAGGAGAGCTGAGATTCACAGGATCCCCCTCTTCCCAATCATGGTAGATGTTTTTTCTAGAAAGTAGGAATACTTTCCTCTCCCCCGGAGATCCTTCCCACATTTTCTTCCAGCTATACACTGATGGAAAGATTGAGTAAGCCTTCTGTAATTTTAAAACTCTAATTATGTCTACGTCCATTCAAAACCCATGTGCCTCAGAAGAGATTAATTGCTTCAAGGTCAAACTGTTCCGTATTTCTTTATACACCAAATATAAGCTGCATGCCAAAAAAGCAGGCTCCTCTACAGCAATCAATTACTTGAAGGTGTGAATTCTAAAGTGCTTCCCTAGCCACACAGCTTCCTTCCAAACATTAGTTCCAGATCAAATCATTATCCCTTTAATTATAAAAAGGTATGTGAGTAACTCTCTGTTCTTTCCTGTCATTCCCAGGTGCCTCTCAGATTCAGATAACAAGCAGGTGCCTTATCTCTAGCACTTGCCACCACAGTGTTTTTTGATAATGGATTACAGTATCATCACTTTGCAGAAAAGTTTTCCTTTCCATACTGTACTTTCTAAGATTTCGGAATAATGCTGGACCCATCTTGAGCTACCATGTAGTTGGCACTGATGTGTTAAGCTGACCATACTGTGCTGTTCAGCAACCAGCTGACACCATGACCTGGCTTCACTCACCATAGTTCCCATTTTACTGCAAGCACGCGAGTCTGACTTCCTTGTGTGTCAACTTCTGACCACAGAAGGTGCTTGTTGTCCTCCCAGATGGCCTTTTGCTGCATCATCTGGAGTGCCAGGACACTGCAGCTACCACCAATGTCCAGAAGTTTCCAGGCTCTGCTCCCCAGACCAGTTTTGGAGCAAGGATGATGAAGGGGAGAGAGGAACCCTCAGTGTCTGTCTCACAGTCCCTGAAATTTCACTTTGCCCAAAAATAGCTATATGTGATTCATGCCAATATCATAATATTGCTAGGCAGGGAGGAAGGTATCAGCATCATTCAAGATTCAAGCAGTATCTCCCTTCATGAAACGTGACTGAGGAAAACGCAAGATATGTGCTTACAAAATGAGGCCATCTTCCCAGAGCAGCGGTGAGACAACAGCCACTGTCCAGATGGGAACCCATGTTTGGCCAGGAACCTCAGCATGTTCTCTTTCACTTCAGCTCAGTCTATGTGAGAAATACACTGCAGTACTGTAGGACTGAATCTTCACTTTCTGAGGCAGAAGAGATATCTGACGTACTAGAGGAATTTTTAGCTGAGCTAAAAACTTTGGCTTTGGCCTTCTTGTACCTTCTTTATTCTGCTTTTCTTCATGTGCAGAGCACTCAGAGGTCTGTGTTTCAGCAACTGCTGTTGCACCTGTTTTGGTTCTTTTCCTTTGTTTCAAGGACAACTTTTGTGTTACGTACTGCTAAATTTGCGTTGCAAAACTTCCTCTCACTGTTACACTGGCCCTTGTCCATAGCCACAATCTGGTCCCGAAAGCGTTTAGACAGTGTTGTTATTTAGTGCCATTGGTTACCATGACACACAGAAATAAAAAGATTGTGGGAAAACTTGTTTTTCATAAAATCTCTGGCCATCAGAATAAGTTGGCTAAATCAAGAATAGAACACAGAAATCAAATTGCCTGTTGTTGGAAAGTATGTTTCTAAAAGCTAGAATGAAGGGAAAGAAATGCTTTTATGCCATAACCTAAAATTGATAAAATTCCAGTTCTGCTCATAAATTTACAGATAAGGAAATTTGCAACAGAACAACAATTGCTACCTGTCTCATTCTTTTCAGTCAAATCATGCTGAGAAAGCAGCAACCTCTGAAAACCCCAGAAATAATCCAGGATTTAAGTCAAATCCTGCAAGCAGATCGCTGGCTTTGTGCTTCAAAGGTGAAAAGACAGTACAACTAGCTTTTATGTAGATGTAGCCAGTGGTGAGTTTTTCCTACTAAATTTGTTGGTAAATTTTTTAAACCATTTCCTTCAAATGTGATTTTCCAATAAAACTCAACTTTTATTCATTTTGATAGTTTTTTTCTAGCTTAAACTGATCCCATTCCATTTTGGCTGAGGAGCAGCCAAACTGGAGCTGCTTCCTCGTTTGAAGGAGGCAGGTCCAGCAGCAAAAATGTTTGTTTGAGGTTCAGCACTCCTTGTTTTGCTATGTACTTCTCCTGGCGGTTGTAACGGTTTCTTTTGTTCTTTAAATTACAAATCTGAACCACTAAAAGCCAGAAGTCACTTCCTGCTCAAAAATTATGACACTGGCTTTAAAATAATTTTAAATATTTTTTTTTATAATTTGCCCTTTCTTTCATACCTGAGCTTCATTCAAGTGTTACTCTCCAGCCCTTCTCTAAAATACCAAAGACAAAATGTGCCTTGTAGATGAAAAGTGAGGTTTTGGCATGATTTTGTGACACCAGGAAACAGGTCTTTAAGGAAAACAAAAAGTATTTTAAGAATCCTGATAAAGATACAACACTTACCAGTGAGCTACTTTAGAAGTGTAACCACGTTAAGACATCCAAACTGACAAGCCATTCAATTTACATGGTGATGGAAAGAGGCATATTTGTTCCCAAAATACTTTCTCCCATCCAGCATAGAAAGTACAGATTTTAGATCCTGCTACTTGCAGAAAACAATACCTTAATGGATTCTGTGGCTACTGTCACAGAATCACAGAATCACAGAATCATTAAGGTTGGAAAGGACCTTCAAGATCATCAAGTCCAACCATTAACCCATGTCCACTAAACCATATCCTGAAGTGCCACATCCATACGTTTTTTGAATACTTCCAGTGATGGTGACTCCACCACTGCCCTCTCTGGGCACCCTGTTCCAATGCTTGACCACCCTCTCAGTGAAGAAATTTTTCCTAATATCCAATCTAAACCTCCCCTGGCGCAACTTGAGGCCATTTCCTCTTGTCCTATCACTAGTTACTTGGGAGAAGAGACCAACACCCACCTCACCACAACCCCCTTTCAGGTAGTTGTAGAGAGCGATAAGGTCTCCCCTCAGCCTCCTCTTCTCTAGACTGAACCACCTCAGTTCCCTCAGCTGCTCCTCGTAAGACTTGTGCTCCAGATCCCTCACCAGCTTTGTTGCCCTTCTCTGGACACGCTCAGCACCTCAACGTCCTTCTTGTAGTGAGGGGCCCAAAACTGAACACAAGATTCAAGCTGCGGCCTCACCAGTGCCGAGTACAGGGGCACAATCACTTCCCTACTCCTGCTGGCCACACTATTGCTGATACAGACCAGGACGCTGTTGGCCGCCTTGGCCACCTGGGCACAGTGCCGGCTCATGTTCAGCCGCCAGCACCCCCAGGTCCTTTTCCCCCGGGGAGCTCTCCAGCCATTCCTCCCCAAGCTTGTAGCGTTGCATGGGGTTGTTGTGACCCAAGTGCAGGACCTGGCCCTTGGCCTTATTAAACCTCATAGTTGACCTCAGCCCATTGATCCAGCCTGTCCAGATCCCTCTGCAGTGACAGTTGGAATAAACTTGCAGACAGGTTCAACCTTTTTAGTTTTTCAGGCATTGTTTTCACCTGCTAAAGGAGTTTCCAGAAAAAAATCTGGTACTTGCACCCT